AGGGAGCAGACGAGAGGCTTCCATGACTTGCTGAGATTCCATGGAATTTGTCCACATATTGGGCTCTCTCCATGTCGATCCCCACGACATAATGGTCAGTTTCGATGTAGTGTCACTCTTCACCAGGGTGTCTATAAAGGATACTATGGATCTTCTAGGACGACATTTCGAAGAAGACATCTTGAGACTCTTCCGCCACCTGACCACCTGTCCTGACCACCTCATACTTCAACTTCAATGGCCAGTTCTATGAACAAACTGATGATGTGTCATTGGGGACGCCACTTTCTCCGGTAATCTCTAACCTCTATACGGAGGACTTCGAGGAGAGGGCACTTGACTTTGCCCCGCGTCGAGCTTCCCACATTTTCTAGACAGTTGACCCACAGATGGCGGTGAGGTTGTCAGCCTTACACGCCCGCCACCCTTTACCCCCATGAGGATTCCTGGTGCTCATTTCTATTACAGGCTAAGTTGACCCCAGAGCCATAATGGAATAAAAATAAATACATTCCAAATTTAATTAAAATTAGCATGTTAATCGTAGAAAATGGACTGTACAGAGGCCAGCATGTCAAAAGCATACTGCAGGAAAATTGCAGTCTGAGGCAATTACATTAAATTATGAGATTGTGGTCCTTATGGCGGTGAATTATTACGGTTTTCTGGAGGTGAAGATGTGTATTTTGGTGTATAGGTACCAATGTTTATGAAGAACCAGCTGCCTCCATCTTCAGGACCCCCATTCGATCGAGTTCTTGCAGGAGAGGAACCCAGGGCGAATCCCATGTTCGACCTTTCCTGAGCATGCAACAACGCATTCCGGCTCAGTAGACATCTTCTGCCACCGAATTCTTTAAATCATAACGATATCCTTTCACAGTTTTCCGCAAAATGTTTCTGATTTACAATAACCACAAGAGCTAGTTTAGTTCTAGGCGACAATAAATTCCGCCCCTTTCCCCAACTAAGTTATTTCAACTCTCTCAACAATTCGTCACAAATAATAAAAAGAAACTCTCAGATACTATGACAAGAAGCTTCAGTCGTCTCGTAATTCTGAAAACAGAAGCGAAAGAAGTGGTAACAAACTACTGCCTTATCCCATCACAATACTCGCTGTGTCCTTTACCGCATGAGACCACAGAACTAGACAAAGGTTCACGGTTGCCTCTTCAAAGCCCAATGGTTGCTATATGCACCGTCCGCTGTAAAATGTTGCAACTTTGCATTCTGTCGACAGAGGGTATTTTATGCTTTTCTCACAATAAGTAGCGATTCTTTTCCTAAGCAGAATTAACCGGTTAATCTCTGAAGCGAAGTCCCCGCGTGGAAGCGGTTTCGAATACCTCCACCTTATCCCTGCGAGTTGTAGGTGACGAAGAAGGAGCCCGGTACCTCGGGGCACAACTGGGTCACCCTGTCACGAGGGGATATAAATACGGGGACCTGGCCCTCCAAGCTGGGGAAGTCTCGAATCTCAGATAGTAAAATATGATGCAAATACTATGTTTTTGGACATTATCCATCGTCTTGTCTTTATCTAAACTGCTCTGTTTATTTTTCAAAACACAACGTTTCGGAGACCGGATTCTGGCTCCGTCTTCAGGTAAAACGTACTCAGTCGGGCCGAACCGATAGGGCTAATTCCTATCTCCGGACCAAAATATTATGAGTTTCGCGGGACTTGGACCCGA